GTTGGGTTGGGAAGTTCTCCCCACCCACAATATTCTCCAGATATGGTACCAACAGATTATCATATTTTTCGTTCACTGCAACACAATTTTAATGGGAAAACGTATGCAAATGTGAAAGGTGTTAAAGAGGACATCGACACGTATTTTGCTTCAAAGCCAAGTGATTTCTTTAATCAGGGCATTAACAACCTGATTGTAATATGGAAAAGCATCATCGATAAGAATGGAGACTATTTCATTTAATAAATGTTTTGTTTTGATATACAAGTTGTTCGGATGTTTCATCTAAAAATAAGCGACATTAATTGACGACCTAATATTCAACATGCTGTACAATTCATTACATTACTGTTATATTTATGTAACGAACGAAGTTTGTCCGTTTTCTCTTTGCGATTAAGAGGCTATATAACTTATGTGTCCTTCTATTAATAGGAACTACACCAACCACTGACGGAAAGTTGTATTAAGATGGACTTCATAACCCATTAAATGAACAGTTGTATTAAGAGGAACTTCATAACTCGTTAGTAGAAACTTGTCTCAAAAGATAATACATAACCCGTGATGGACAATTATATTAAGAGGGACTACACAACCTGTTGATGGACTTCATAATCCATTAAATAAACAATTGTATTAAGAAGAACTAAAAAAGCCCCTTAGTAGACACTTGTATGAAGAATTACAACTTCATTCGCTGATATCTTACACAACTCCCCATTGAATTCTTGAGTCAAGAAGGGTTAGGTAATATGCCAATAGGTCACCGTATTAGCTTTTGTTGAGTAATTCGATATAAGAACATTATATCAAAAGAAATCGCATGACTCAGTGTTGAACGGATTTATTTAAAACATAATAGGATAATTCAAAAATGGACAACAATATTACGGGGAAAGTATTTAGTTCACTATTTCGTCACTCATTATATTTAACTGTTGCATTTTGAGATTTAAATGAAACTGCCGTATTAAGGAAAGCTAAATAGCTTGATTCTGGTCTGCTGTAATAAAGATTCTATAACTTGCTATGTAGCACTGTCTTAATGGTGACCTTACAACTAAAACAATTCACATTAAAACACACAATTAAGGAAAGTACTATACATTCTTTGGGATAATGAAAATCGAGCATTTATATAACTTGCTTTATAGCGCTGTATTGAAGATGACTTTTATAAACCCAGTCAAATCAATAACTAAAACATGAAATTAAGGAGAGTACTTCGTGAATGTTCACTGGGATATTGAAACAAGACCGCCGAATTAAGCGAAATTACAAATTCCACCAGTGTATTGCTACTTTACGTAAGAGAGACGACGGTGAAACCGCCAAAGAAAGGAGTGTGTCGTCATTTATACTTAATATTCTACTCAGTTTCTTTCTAAGCGGTTAGGTCTTCTAAATAAATCATAAAGACAATGAATTAATGGAAAGAAAACATCATTTCGCGTTTGGATAATGAACTACAGGGGTTGTGCAACTCTACATCAAGTAGTAAGTAAATTTACATATACCTCTCAAGAATCACTTAGTATCTACTGCCAAAGTAATTAATTGGATGATGTATGGATTGGGTATGCATAACTCGCTTAGTAGTCAATGCCAGAGTAATTGATTGGTTGATGTATGAATCAGTTATGATTATTTCACTCGGTAGCCGCCGTAAAAATAACTGATTAGGTGATGTTTGAATCAGGTACAGTATTATTCGCTTAGTAAACCACTGCCCAACTAATTGATTGGAGGATGTATAAAACAGGTATGCATAAGTCACTTATTAGCTACTGCTAAAGTAAGTGATTGGATGATGTATAAATCAGGTACGCATAACTCACGTATTAGATACTGCTAAAGTAATTGATTGGATGATGTATAAAGCAGGTATGCATAAGTCACTTATTAGCTACTGCTAAAGTAATTGATTGGATGATGTATAAAGCAGGTATGCATAAGTCACTTATTAGCTACTGCTAAAGTAATTGATTGGATGACGTATAAAGCAGGTCTGCATAAGTTACTTATTGCTACTACTAAAGTAATTGATTGGATGACGTATAAAGCAGGTCTGCATAAGTCACTTATTAGCTACTGCTAAAGTAATTGATTGGATGATGTATAAAGCAGGTCTGCATAAGTCACTTATTAGCTACTGATAAAATAATTGATTGGATGATGTATAAATTAAGTTCGCATAAGTCACTTATTAGCTACTGCTAAAGTAAGTGATTGGATGATGTATAAAGCAGGTACGCATAACTCACGTATTAGATACTGCTAAAGTAATTGATTGGATGATGTATAAAGCAGGTATGCATAAGTCACTTATTAGCTACTGCTAAAGTAATTGATTGGATGATGTATAAAGCAGGTATGCATAAGTCACTTATTAGCTACTGCTAAAGTAATTGATTGGATGACGTATAAAGCAGGTCTGCATAAGTTACTTATTAGCTACTACTAAAGTAATTGATTGGATGACGTATAAAGCAGGTCTGCATAAGTCACTTATTAGCTACTGCTAAAGTAATTGATTGGATGATGAATAAAGCAAGTACGCGTAACTCACATATTAGCTACTGCTAAAGTAATTGATTGGATGATGTATAAATCAGTTAGGCATAACTTATTTCTGACTTTAAACCGTCAATCACAGAACTCATTAGTTGTTGCTTATCTTTAAAGTAAAAAGAAAAAGAAGTGTAACGTTAATAACTTACCGAAAAACAAATCCACAATACCAAATGGCATAACTGCCAGACATACCAACAAATCCGCCATAGCCAGTGATAATAGAAAATAATTGGTGACGTTCTGGAGACGCCGTTCCCGACATATTGCTAAACATACTAGCGTATTCCCTAATCCTCCTGAAATCACAAACAACAACAGAAGTAGGCTTAGTAGGCTATATCCATGCGACAAATTCGGGGGCGACGATTGCTTTTCAGAAAAAGAAGTATTAATGTCCACCACCTTTGAAATAATATCGCTCGTGTATGTTGTCTCATTCATATAAATGTTGCTATTGTTCATCTCGTCTGCCGTTAATACCACACCAGGGAGCTCCTAAGTAAAGTTGGAATTCACTTGGGTAATCATAGGGTGTATCGACTCCTCAGCCAGTCATCTTCATTTTACTCAGTAACAGAGTCGAAGAGCTACCTGCAATTTGAAGGTGGTTTTTTTTTTTAGAATAACTAAAAACTCGTTGTCGAGAAAAGTTTTGTGATAACAAAATAAAAAAACTTTTAAATCGAAAGTGTTTTATTAGTTAACGTACAGATCTACTGGTTATGTTTTATTATATTTTTTAGTTATACGTTTTCATTTGAAATGTAGTAAATAGCTTGTCTTGTGATGAAATTATTAACTTATATATAATTCACATGTCATGAAACATTCGTTTCATTGTAGAGGATAAGCTCGATAACTAAGGCAACATTTATAAAAACAGAATAAATTGAGCCAATGTTAGTCTTAAACATCAATTAATTTTCACACTGCTTTTCTTATTTTTTAATCTAACCAAAAGCAAGTTTCTGTTACTGTACCTCTCATGACGAAAGGGCTCAAAACAGCTCCAAAATACGTTTGAGTAACAAAGATGTGTTATCTGAGAAAATCATTAGGTGAAGCAGCCTGTTAAATATCAGTTTTGACATTAGACAAAGATTGTGTTTTACAGTGTAATTGTCTTTAAACGTTGTAAGCTTAGTATAAAATAGCCGCAATAATTTAATGATGTTACATAAGAATATGGCCACTAAAATATTTTAGTCAGTGGCCTTTCTGCCTTCTAACGAAACAGTAATTAAGTGATCTTAGAGTTTATAAATATTTTTACATTTAACAACTTGTGAGTTTTATTCCAGGATCACTTGTATGACACATAAGTAAGTGATTAAAAGCGTCAATACAATACTTTTGTAATGTAAATCTTCATGCACACTTTTATCTTTTTATAAAATGAGGTAAGTACGTCTTTCTTATTTCTATTTCATATAATACATATCTAAATATTATTATCGCAACAGATTTATTTTTGTTACGTTATCCTGCTATAACATACATTTAATTCATAATTCCCCCATTATTTCAGAAGTATGTTTGTGGGCTAATAACGCAAGTTTTGCGCTTAACTACAAACAAACAAAAGTTCCTAAATCTCGTACGTACTTTTCAACTAGCTATCCTTATAGGAAAGAAATGTGTTACGTGGAAACTAAATTAATGTGCAAAGTGTTCAAGAGTAACCATTGAAGACGTAAAAATATCCTAATTATCTCTGTCTTTGTTTGTCTGTACTTATATCATGAACTGATGCATGTGATATGATATCTTGAAAGTTCATTTCCTAATTTTATTGAAGGATTCCGCAACGATCGTTTTTATCGACTTAACGACTTTCGTCCTATTATGGTTCAAGTTATGATAATTATTTTCGGTCTCAATACCTTTGACAAATCATGCTTAAAACCGAAAAATATCATCAGCCATAGCCAAATATTTCTGGGACCGGGTTCTTAGCCACGAGAGATTACACAATATAAAGTCTGGTTTATGTGAACGATATTCTATTCCATAATATCATATATCTTTTATATTCTATTCCATAATATCATATATCTTTTATATTCTATTCCATAATATCGTATATCTTTTATATTCTATTCCATAATATCATATATCTTTTATATTATATTCCATAATATCATACATCTTTTATATTATATTCCATAATATCATACATCTTTTATATTATATTCCATAATATCATATATCTTTTAGACCTTAGAATCTCATAGTAAGCAATTTTTCAGGAGAATAAAAT